TTTTTTTTTTTTGGCAACAAAATAAACTCATATTTTAATTAAATTTTCTACAAACTTTTTGAAGCCTCCTTGCATGTTCCTACCCACCCTGGACTGTGAGCTCCATGAAGTCAGGGAGTCTCAGGGTTAGGCTACCTTATGAAACATGCTGGGAAGAATCCCTCCTTTCTATCCTCTGGGAGTTTATCTAAGGTTGGCATTCTTTCTTCATTAACTATTTGGAAGAATTCCCCCTGTGGAAGTCATCTGGACCTGGCATTTTTATATGGGGAAGGTTTTAAATAATGAATTCTATTTTTCTAACAAGACTATTAGACTGTTCAGGTTTTCTATTTCTTCTTGTGTCAGTTTTGGTAAATTGTGCTTTTAAAGAAATGTGTCCATTTCACCTAAGTTGCTAAGTTCATTGGCATGAAACAGCTCCTAATATCTTGGAAGTATTTTTTGTTTTTTTTTTGAGAGGTTTTCGCTATAGGGCACGTGCGCTCGCCAGACAGAGAGAGACATAGAGACAGAAAGCGAGAAATCACCCCCCAGGGGGGATGGTCACGCCACAATCCCTTCTCCTCCATTCTCCTCTCAGGATCTTGGGCATGCACACGCGCCCGGCGTGAGTTTAAGCCACCGGGTCCGGGACGCAAACCGCGGTCGACTACGTGGGAGTCCAGCGACATAGCCATTACGCTAACTGCTGATTCCCACTACTTTTTTTTTTTTATGTTAGAACAAAGCCCTCTTTTGCATTTCAGGTACTGGTAATTTGTGTTTGTTGTCTTTTTAAAATCATACTTGAATTTTGCTATAGGGCATGTATGCTTGCCTGAGATACAAAGAGAAGGAAAGCGAGAAAGCTCTCTCTAGAGGGGATGACTATGCTGCCGTCCCTTCTCCAGTCTCTTCTTGGGCTTTGTGGACACACACACCGTCTTCTTCTCTTAATGCATCTTGCTAGGGAGCCCACTGATTCTGTCAATCTTTAAAGAACCAACTTTTGGCCGTCCTGATTTGCTCTAGAGAACCGCAGCTTTCTCCTTCACTGTTTCTTTTTCCTCTTCTCTTTCATGCTTCCTCCCTTCCACTTTCAACGATGGTAGTTTGCTTCACTGGCTTCTCAAGAATGTGGTTTAGGGGAACACGAACAGCAGCTCTCATTTATTCACTGTGTCAGTCGCTGTATGAAGCACTGTACGTACAAGATTCTCACAAAAACCCCCATTTCAGAGTGGAATACAGAGGCGCAGAGAGGTGAAGTCAGTTACTCAAGGTCACACCAGTCAGCAAAGCAATCCCAACTCTAGCCGGTGTGGCTTCCGAGCCCTGACTGCTTTCCTACCCTGCCTTCTCTCTTGTATTCTCATGCTGAGAGTATTTCGTTCCTTCAACCTGTACTAACCACCCTACAGAATTCACATGCAGGACGAATACTACATTTCCCAGACTACTCTGCGGCTAAGGTTCTGGATATGAGTCAGGTCCTGCCAATCTCTGTACTCATGAAGATTTAGAAGGTGGAAATGGTACGCTAGCTGCTTTCTTGCTCCTCTGCTTCTGTTCATCTGAGTAAGGTCATGAGACAAGGGTCTTTGATTTGGCTGGCCCTGCATGTCTTCTCCAGCCCTCTACAAGAGGTTCTTCTGGTGGGCAACAAGATTCCTGAGTCTTGGACTGCAGCCATGACCACATGTTCTTAACTCACCAATGCTGGGGCAGCTCTGAGGTGGCAGCTCCCTTGGTGGGTTAGTTCTGTTGTGTGACTCTGACTGTTCCTCCTGTAGGTCTAGCCTTTCCAACAATTTTTTTTTTTTTTTTTTTAGAGATTTTCACTGTAGGGCGCGTGCGCTCGCCAGACAGACAGAGAGAGACATAGAGACAGAAAGCGAGAAATCACCCCCCCAGGGGGGATGGTCACGCCGCAATCCCTTCTCCTCCATTCTTCTCTCGGGATCTTGGGCACGCACGCACACGTGCCCGGCATGAGTTTTAAGCCACTGGGTCCGGGACATGAACCGTGGTCGACTACATGGGAGTCCAGCGACATAGCCATTACGCTAACTGCTGGTTCCCGACTTTCCAACAATTTTGAAAGCACCTAATATCTGGTATTAAACCCTTCCTGCCCAAAGCACTGCCCACCTTCTGACACAGAATGCTAATTTATGCAATAGCATAAAGCATAAGCTCAGATGAGGAGAGTGCTTGATAAACGTGCTTATTGAATGATTAAATAGAGCGACATCCTAAGGAGTCCTGTGTGGTGGTGTGGGGAACGAAACACAGCAGGGGCTGGAAGCAGGGGCTGGAAACCTGTACACAGGTGGCCTCTGCTGGCTGGCCTGATGGCCATACCCCCAGCCCCACCCCCCCAGCCCGGCCACTCACAGGGGTGCTCGCACTGTCCTTCCGCCGCTCTGGGATCTCAGCCTTGTTGGGGTTGTGGGCGCTGCTGACCATGGGGCTGGAGGGGGGCAGCCCTCGACTCCCGCTTCCTGCAGCACTGCAGCTCGCCTTCCGACCTGGCAGCCGCTCCTCCTTGAGCTCCGCCTCTCCCGTGCTGGTTGGGCTACGCTTGGGGTGCAGGGGTGCGGGGGATGGGCCACCTGGTGGAGGGAGGAGATCAGTTAGAGCTGACGCCCAGCAGGAGGTAGGTGGTGGTCACTCTGTTGTACTTCTGGCTGGTCAAGGTCTCTTTGATTTCTTCCTGCGTGTAGTCCATACCCACCAACACCTCTGGGAGAGGAGGATGGAGAGAAGGTTGAGTCCCCCAGACTTTCCCTTCCAGGTACTTCTCCATCCCTCAGCAATGTCTACTCTCTGGCCCTTCGATGCCACAATCCCTTCTCCTCCATCTCTCCCTCCTCTTGGAATTTTGGGCATACACGTACATATGACTGACTTGTATCTCAAGCTACAGGGTCCAGGACTTCAATCACGCTGTTGGCCATGAGAGATCCAGCTGTCTTAACCACCACACCACTGGCTATTCCTAATAGTTCCTCTTTTTCCCTAACATTTTTTTTTTTTTTGAGAGGTTTTTGCTATAGGGTGTGTGAGTTCATCAGAAAGAGAGAGACAGAGAGACAGAAATCATCCCCCAGGGGGGATGGCCACACCTCAATCCCTTCTCCTCCATTCTCCTCTCAGGATCTTGGGCACATACACACATGTGCCCGGCTGAGTTTAAGCCACCAGACCCAGGACTCAAACCATAGTCGACTACACGGGAGTCCAGTGATATAGCCATTGCGCCAACTGGTGGTCCCCAAGAGTTTCTTTTTTTAATGCCAGCTCCTTAAAGACCTCCTGGGCCAACTTTGTTATTTACAGAGGGGGAAGGGGCCAGCAGGTGGTGTGGTGGTTTTAGGGGCTGGACTTCCGTAAGGCCGACCGCTGTTCGAGTTCTAGACTTCCTTGCTTTCCCTTTCTCTCCCTCTGGTCAAATTAAAAAACAACAATAATAATAATAATAACAAATGGAATTCAATAAGTAATTCTTGACCATCCAGTAACAGTGGAGGGAGAGCAAAACCCAGAACAAGCTGCTTGGGTATTGAGCTAAGCTTCCCCGACTCCTCTCTCCCCACCCAAGTGCTTGCCCCAGAGTGAAGAACTTTACCCCTGCAGACAGTAGGGCTGAGAACTAACATCCTCGTGTTCCTTAAAACTGTTAGCCAGAGTTCCCAGGTGACCTGGCGACTGCACGCCTCGGCGTATACCTGAGAGAAACGAGGGCGACGTACTTCTGCACAGAAAGCCCTGCAGCGTTGACGGAAGCCCCATTCACAACAGACCGAAGTAGAAACACGCCACGCGTCTATTAAAGGATGGACAGAGTTGGGGCTGGCAGGTGGCGTGGTGGTTAAGGGCACTGGATTCCCTCATGGCCAACCGTGGTTCAAATCCCAGACCTGGTGGCTTGCTTTTTCACTTTTTCTCACTCTGTCCCTCTCTGGTCAAATTTTTCAAAAATAATAAATAGGAGCTGGCAGATGGCGTGCTGGTTAAGGGCACTGGACTGCCACATGGCCGACTGCAGTTTGAGTCCCAGACCTGGTGGTTTGCTTTCTCATTTTCCCTCTCTCTCTCTTTCACTCTATCCTTCTCTGGCCAAATTAAAAATAAATAGGTAAATAAATAAAGTTAAATAAAATGATGTTTTAAAAATAAATAGAATTAAATAAAATAATCCTTAAAAAAAAAAAGGATGAACAGATTAAGAAAATGTAGTATTTCCATGCCATGGAGTCATTCAGCAATAAAAAGTAACGAAACACTGATACGTGCTTTATTGTGGGTGAACCTTTGTCTAGAATTGGCAAATTCATAGAAACAGAAAGCAGATTAGTAGCTGCCAGAGGCTGGGGGTGGATGGGGGACTGGAAGCCGAGTTTCTTCTGGGAATGATGACACGTTCCAAGCTCAGTGACAGCGATGGGTGTACCACTGTGACACAGCACGCCGGGGACCTGTCCGCATTAAACGGGCAAATGGCACGGGATGTGACCTTCGTCGTAGTAAAGCCGTTAGAAAAAGAGCGGAGAGGACTAGCAGGTGATGAGGGTGTGGGTAAGAGACCTCTTGAAGTTTCCAGGCCTAATTGGTGGTGTGTGTGGGGTCTACTCATATTTGACAGCAGATAAGACGTCCGTCAGTTGCAGAATGTGGGCGCTGCCCAGCTGCCTACCACAAAGAAAGGCCTCCCCGCTTCTCTGCATGGAGGGGAGGCCAGAGAGCAGGTTCTCAGCAGCCACTTTGTAAAACGTGTCTCCTCCTGCCCCAGTTACAGTGGATTAATCCCAACCGGACCCTGAAATCAAAGCTCTGTTCTGACAAGTGGACCAAAGAGATTGCAGCTATTACTTGGGCTGGCCCATAAAATTCAGATGTGAGAAATCTGGGGACCAAAGGTTCAGGAAACAGGTAAAGTGATGTCAACAGACAAAGGAAAAGCAGACGAGCCGAGAGGAGGCCAGATGTGGGGAACGTCTGCTCTGGGGCTGGCGGCTTTTCCAGTATCAATCCCGGCCCGAGTCTGGCTGTGCATGCCCGTGTCGGAGTTCCCCACGATGCACTGCACCTTACGAGCCCTTCTGGGCCACCCAGAGAGCCCTGCTGGAAGGCAGGTCTGAACACAGTGGGGGCGGGCGCGAGGGCGAGGGCGGGGGCTGCTACTCACAGAAGTCGCTGTGCCTGCGCTGGCGGTGGTAGGTGGAGGAGGAGCTCCGCTGCCCTTTGCTGTGGCTGGTGCCTTTGCTGGAGCTCGTTCCATTGGTGGTGTCGCTGGGCGCCCGCACCCGTGCCAGGGCCAGCCCTGGGGCGCCCCGGTCCCCACCCTCCTGGGAGAAGATGACAGATGAGGCGACTGATCCCCTCTGCCCCCGAGACCCTCCGACCCATTGTCCCGAGGGCCCCGCTGCCCTCTGACCTCAGTCTTCCTGCCCAGCAGGAGGTAGGTGGCGGTCACTTCGTTGTACTTCTGGCTGGTCAAGGCCTCTTTGATTTCTTCCCGCGTGTAGCCCATACCCACCATCACCTCTGGGAGAGGGGGACGGAGAGAAGGTTGAGTCTCCCAGACCTTCCCTTCCAGCAAAGTCTGTTCTTGCCTGTCCAGGATCTACTCTCCTTCCTGCCAGAAGCACTCTGATTCTTCCTCAGATATTTCTCCTTCCGTCAAACCATCTGGCTGGCCCTCACCTGCCACTATCCCAGGTGCTGATACATAGTCTAGATCTGGCCAATCAGAGGGCTCTATCCCTAATGGAACACTGATTGGTTGAGAGGAGGCAGATGACCCAGTTCTGGCCAATCAGAGCACTCTATCCCCAAGGCCACACTGATTGGTCCAGAAGTAACCAGTGGGTACCAGGCTGGGACTCTGAGTGCATCATGGAAGTGGCTTGTCTACCTGACAAGGCCGGCCACCAGCTGTTGCCAGCTTACCTGTGTGATGAGATCTACCTGGGAAGAAGCTACCACAGAGAAGGTTCCCAATGGTTCTCTAAGCCTCTGGATCCAGCTGTGCCTGAAGGTGACACACCCTGGCCTCTTTGCTTATATGAATGTGAAATCATTATTATTGACGATTTCGGACTTAAAAAAAAATGGCAGTTTCATATGATTCAACTTCAATCTTTTGGTTCAACCAATTAGTATCTGGGTTACACACACTGATGTGGGTTTTCTGTTACTTGCAACCATGAAAGTTCCGACTGATGCAGCCAGGTGCTGGGGTGGCCCCAGTCTCCTCAGCTGCAGACTGGAGGGACAGTGGCCGGTTTCTGAGAGGTATTCCCACCGCTAATGCTTTAGGGTTTGAGAGTTCTAGTGCTCTGGTCTAGACGGTTAAGTACCAACAGGTGTGGACCAGGCTAGTCACAAGATGGGGGTCTTCCTCAAACTTGCAGGTCACTGAAGACCTGTGCTCAAACTCCTTCGGAAGCGACCTGTGATTTTGTGTGTCAGCACTAACAGGCATCGACACGCCTTGCCTCCCGGGCGCTGCAGTGCCTGCTGCAGATGACTCATTTAATCATCACCACCACCCTACAGGGCAGGTAACCCTAGGATGATCCCATTTTACAGATGAGGAGACAGGCGTAGAGAGGGAGGGCCGCTTGCCCAGGGCCACACGGGAGGAAAGTGGCAGCGCGGGGCCCAGAGCCTAGACTCCTCACCACTCTCCCCAGCTGCCTTCTAAGTTTCTGCTGCACGAAGTGAGGGGACAGGGGGATGGGGGGCTCCCGCCTCCGGCTCTGGGGCCCCGGGCACGTGCTCTCCCTGGCTCTCACCGATTCGCTTGGTGTCCCCGAAGTCTTCCTCGGGCTCTGTGTATGGCTTCAATTCTTCGCCCTCATAGCCGATGTTGATCCATTTGTCTTTCATGATTTGCTGCAGGAGTTCGGAGCATGAAAGGAGACCAGGGTCAGAAGGAACCAGGACTAGTACAGCTTCCCACCCCCGGCGGGCCCCAAGTGGATACCTGCCCTGCGAACACCTCCACGGCCTCATATCCCAGAATCAGGGCTCCCTGGGAGGGAGCGCCTCCTCTCCCCCCGACGCCCGCCGAAGCCTCCTGATACCACCCTCCCTCCTCCGCATCATCTGGGCCCCTGGCACCCTGTAATCATCCCGGGAGCTCATTAGCTAATTACTGGCAAGGCGGGGAGAGGGTGAGCTGTCGGGGGGTGGCATCAGGACAGCCTGGAGCCTTTCCCTGGGGTGCCTGGCTCCCCTCTGCCCGCCAGCCGTGGCTGGGGGGGCGGCGGCGGCTTGGAGAGACACGTGAAGGGCAAGAGAGCTGCTAGGAGAGGCGGGCAGAGCTGGGGGGCACCGGCCAGGCGGCGCCCGGTGCAGGCTGGGCTCACCTCGAGGGTGCAGCGTTTAGCTGGGTTCAGCACCAGAAATCTCCGCAGGATGCTCTCACAGTCTGTGGACATGTAGAAGGGGACCCGGTACTTCCCTCTGAGGACACGCTCCCGCAGCTCCTGGGGGGACAGGTTAGCAGGTGAGGAGGCCACTTCCCCCACCAGGACAACACTCATCTCTGTCCCAACCTCTCTGACAAAAGCCATAGAAGCTCCCAGTCATGCCCTGATGAGGTGGACAAAACCTTCCTCCTCTTTTCTGATCTGTCCCCCATCTGTAAAATGGAACGTAGGCTCAACACAGCAATTTTCAAGTAAAAATAAAATAAAATAAAATAAAATAAAATAAAATAAAATAAAGTTAAGCTGCGCCTTCTCAATGAGAGGAAGTCACAGAGAAAACACGCTCTGGGAGGCAGATGCAGGGGAGGTGGGTGAGTGACAGCCTTGGGGGCTGCGGTCTCTTATCAGGACCCAGGGACACTGCTTGTACTTCGCGGGCCACCGCCAGGGTCCTGGGAGGTGCCACCTATCACACGCTGAGCCCGGCCCGGAGCAAGCGCGCCTTCCATGCCGTCGGAGGTCTGCGGAAGAGGAGGGATTCTGCCCCTCCTGCCCACCCCAGCCAGCGGGCCAGCACTCTGGAGATGGAGTCTCCAATGACGGCCACTGATTTACACGCTGAGTTTTTCCCTCCTTTATCAAGAGGTCTAGACTCGGGACACCATGGCCTGGCAGACCAGAGGGAAATCTCTGCCATCGAAGTAAAAACCGAAGGTCACAGAAAATGGTGAGGACAGCTAGGGGGGGGGGGGAGCTGCGCAGGGCAGAGGCTGGGGCCTGGGGTGGGAGCCACCTTCCGGGGTGTTCCACAGGGACGGGGACGCTGGTGCCTGTGGAGCCCGTGGGCCTGCAGAGCACTATGGTGAGGCCCGCGCACTCGTCCCGAGGCAGTGTTCTAAGTGCGTCACACATGTCACACGTGTCACCTCCATTTAACGATCACTATGGAGCAGGGCTGTGGTACCACGTTCCAGAGGAGGGACAGAGCCCAGAGAGGTCAGTTCACTTGTCCCGGGTGTACAGTCAGAAAGCGGCAGGGCCCGGGTTCAAACCCAGGCAGTCGGGCCCAGGAGCGTGGGCAGGAGAAAGGCTTCATGTACCCAGTTCGCTGCATGTGGGTCCTCTTATACCCCCACTGCGTGGGTGGGAAACTGAGCTGAGGTTCCAGGTTTGCACCTAGAACCCTCCCCGAGTGTACCAGGCATGCCGGTGCCACGACCCAGAACTGGGGGTGGATCACAACACTAAGACCCTCTGGGGTGCTGTCTCTCACAGTCGTGCAGAAAGGACGGGATTCCTGCCCTTGGCTGCGCCTCCCTGGCTCGCCAGGTGGAGGATGTCTCTAGGGAGACCAGGACAGCAGGGGGTGACGGGCCTGCAGCAGGTAAGACAGCCTCGCTCTTTGGAAAGGTCTCTGCATGAGGCCAGCAGGCGGCTTAGCTGTCAAGGCGCTGGACTCCCACATGGTTGACCGAGATTTGAGCCTTGGACATGACAGTTTGAAAAGTACTCCAGGCATGTGTGCATACGTGTTCAAAACCCCGAGGGGAGAATGGAGGAGATGAGATTGCAGCATGGCCAGCCCTACTGGGGCTGATTTCTCACTCTCCCTCTCTCTGTCTCTCTTCAGGACTGCGTGTACTCTATGGCAAAACCTCAAAAAAAGAAAAAAGTTTCTTCACAGTTAGGGCACAGAAAAATTACTCCACGACAGGACCTCACCACCACCCCCCCAATCCCAGGCTCCAGGGACTTCCGGAGTGTGTTGGGTTTGTGTTAAGTGAGCACTTCACACACCTGACCTCACAAGCCCTCGGGCCACTGCTACAAAGCGAACAGAGTGGAAACTGAGGTGGAAAGGTCAGGTGCAGGGCCAGCAAGTGGCGTGGTGGTTAAGGCGCTGGATTCCCACATGGCCCACTGAGGTTCGAGTCCTGGACCTGGTGGCTTGCTTTCTCTCTTTCACTCTCTGTCCCTTTCTAGTCAAATGAAAATGAATGAATGAATAAATAAACTTAGATGGCGTGGTGGTTAAGAGCACTGGGCTCCCACATGGCTGACTGCAGTTCGAGTCCTGGACCTGGTGGCTTGCTTTCTCTCTTTCTCTCTCTGTCCCTTTCTAGTCAAATGAAAATGAATGAATGAATAAATAAACTTAAAATAATTCTGTAAAAATAATAATAATAAACATAATTCAGTAATTTTTTTTAAAAGAAGGATCAGCTACTCAGCCAAGGCTGCTGTGCAGAACGGGTTCTTACCCCTCACCCCGTGGGCCGTACTCTGATGACCTGTCCTCGACAAGGACTTCCCTGGCCTCCCAATTTCCAATCGATACGCATGCCCACAGGCTGCCCCAGCAGGGCACAGTGTCCCTGCTGCGGAATTCCTGCCTGAAATGCACCACTCGACTCCAATTACAAGGAAGCGGCAGGCAGCCCAGATGGAGGGACGGCTGCACAACCACCGGCTGACCCCACCGACAGCGTCACCAGCCAGAAAGACAGGGAGGCCAGAATCGGCCCCAGGGAAGGAGACAAAGAGGCCCATGTGGGCGGAGTGAGGTGAGACCCTGTGCTCCACTGGCTGGGACTCCAGCAATCAGGAGGCTGAGACAGGAGGGGCATGAGCCATACGGGGACAACGCTGTGAGACGCTGTCTACGGGAGAGCTGGCTGGGGCCGGGAGATGGGGGCGCTCCGTGAAGCTGACCCACACGGGAGGCCCCAGGTTTGCATCCAGAGCCCTCCCTGCGTGTGCCAGGCATGCAGGTGCCACAGTCGGGAGCTGAGGGTGGGTCGCAGCGTCAGGGCCTTGTCGGGGTGCTGTCTCTGTCTCTCCTGCTCACGGAAGAAGTAAATACCCTTTACTGATAAATAAACAAATGAACAAATAAGTAAATAAGAGCCAGCCAGCAAGGAGGCTGGGACAGGAAGTAGTGACAGTGAGACCCCGTTTTATTTTTTTAAAGAATTATTTATTTTTAAATTTTATTTATTACTATTTTTTTTTAGAGGTTTTTGCTATAGGGCATGTGCACTTGCCAGACAGACAGAGAGAGACAGAGAACAGAAAGTGAGAAATCACCCCCCGCCCGGGGGGATGGCCATGCCGCAATCCCTGCTCCTCCATTCTCCTCTCGGGATCTTGGACACGCACGCACACGCACCCAGCGTGAGTTTAAGCCACCAGGTCCGGGACACGAACCGCGGTCGACTACGTGGGAGTCCAGTGACACAGCCATGACGCTAACTGCTGGTCCCTTATTACTATTTTTTTTAAATTAGCTATAGGGTGCCTGTACTCTCCAGAGAGAGAAACAGAAGGAGAGACACACAGAGAGAGAAGGTGATGGGACCAGCGGATGCCGTAACAGTTACTTTGCTTGATTCCCACGTAGTCAACTATGGTTCGAGTTCTGGACCCGGCGGGTTAAAGTTCACGTGGGTGCACGTGGTGCATTTCAGGCAGGAATTCCGCAGCAGGTACACTGTGCCCTGCTGGGGCAGCCTGTGGGGCAAACGTATCGATTGGAAATTGGGAAGTCAGGGAAGTCCTTGCCGACAGGAGAATGGAGGAGAAGGGACTGCGGTGTGGCCATCCCCCCAAGGGGTGATTTCTCACTGTCTCTGTCTCTCTCTGGCAAGTGCAAGCACGCTATAATAAAACTCTCTTAAGGAGCAGGCAGGTGGCGTGGTGGTTAAGGGCACTGGACAGCACCACATGGCTGACTGTGGTTCAAGTCCTGGACCTGGCAGCTTGCTTTATCACTTTGTCCTCTCTCTCTGTCCCTCAAAAGAAAGAAAGAAGGTTAAATAATTAAATTTTTAAAAATAATAAAACCTTTTTAAAAAATGAGAGAGAGAAAGAGAAAGTGAAAAAGCACGCTGCCAAGTGCAGAACTTGAACTGTGGTCAACCATGTGGGAGTCTAGTGCCTTCACCACCACACCACCTACTGGTGCTAAAGACCTTATTCTTTTAGGAACAAAAAAAGGAAGCTAGGAAGGAGGAGGAGAGAGAGACAAGAGACAGCAGAACAGAACTGAACTCGAGAGTCTAGTTGGATCCTTGACCACAGGAAAACAGCTCCAGGAGCTGCCCCTGGGACGGCGCAGGGGTGGGGGCGGGACCATCTCGCTGCTGCACTCCCTGGGTGCCAGCAGCCTCAGCAAAGCGCCCTGGTCTCAGGAGATCGCCCACCACGGCCTTTAGTAAAAGGGACCAGTAACTCCGGCAGATGGTCAAATGGCCCAGCAATGACGATGATGGCAGTCACGCTGCACACACACGCACACGCACGCGGACACGGTACGTGGCCCAATGCCAACACCCGATAGGTTCCACGTGTTGCTGCATCTATCCCTGCAACTTTTTTCTTTCTCTTTTTTAGAGTGAGTTTTTTGTTTTGTTTTGTTTTGTTTTGCTATAGGATGTGTGCGCTTGCCAGAGAGACAGAGAAACAGAAAGTGAGAAACCACCCCCCGGGGGGATGGCCATGCTGCAATCCCTTCTCCTCCTTTCTCCTCTCGGGATCTTGGGCGCTCACACACACTTGCCTGGCGTGAGTTTAAGCCACCGGGTCTGGGACTTGAACCGCGGTTGACTACGTGGGAGTCCAGTGACAGCCATTACGCAATCTGCCACCTGCTGGTCCTCACACTTAAACTTTTATGGACACTGACAATGTTGTGAAACAGAAAGTTCAAAGACAAAAAGGGGAACTACGGCCCCCACACTTCCTGCCTCTGCAGGGCCCTGACGTGACAGCTGCCACCAGCGTGGACCATAACATCTATCTGCGACTGTCCTGTCCTGTCCTGCCTCTGCTGCTGGAACGCGGCGCGCGAGGACGAGGACTTTCTGTTCTAGGCGGACAGTTCGCTGGCTTCTGGAATAGTCATGAGGCGTGCACTCGTCCCACCACCTCGAAGGAAACCCCGTGCCCTGGGCCGTGCACCCCGCTCCCCGGCCGCGCCTGCTCCCCGTCTCCCTGGTGTGCCTGTCCTGCACGCCTCTCAGTCGGAACGACACACTCGCTGGCCTTTGGTGACTGGC